TTTGGTTTTAGGGCTTTGGGGTTTCGGGGTTTCCGGCTATACACTAGGGTTGGAATATGGGAGGTGTGCCCGGAAGGACCTCCCAGCGTTCTAGGGTGCGATTTTCGGGGTTTGTGGGTGGGTTTGAGGTTGTTAGGCTTTTGGGATTTCGGCTTCAGGTTTCGGATTTGGGGTTTTGAGGTTCCGCGTTTAGTGCGCATGTAGGAGTTTGAGATAATACCAGGGGCACCTTGGGATTACAGTAGATTGCAATTCCGGCTTGAGGTCTAGTTTCGAATCCTGATTGCTTTTCGCGTTTGCATGTACCTGCCGTCGGTGTCTGTGTTTACATGTTGCTATTTTTGTATCGTTCCGGTCCCGGCGCAAAGAACGCCGCTGCCACAAGCAGAGTAAGCGGTGCAAGTCAAGTGTACAACGCAGAGCCAACAACCAGCAAGCATATAGAATCGCACATACCAGTACAACGAATGACTTCTGAGCTGTATTTCCTGCATATGCTGTTGAGAAGGTTTATGGGGTAGAATACCCTATGATGTGGCATGCCACACACTGATGCTGCATAACGTGGCACGGGCAAAATAATCAACTGGCGTCCTGATGCGACAGTACACATATGTAGTATAGAGGACAACTTGCATATACAATGTGTTGTTTGTACTCGCTGTAGTGTGAAACACTGTTAATGTCGAAGAGAATGCTGCATCAGACAATAATGAAGCGCGACTTTCTGGTATTTATCAAATGGTGCTGTTATTTGTGTTGATGTACCATCAGGAAATATCCGATGTCACTATCTGCGAACCTTTCGGGCGACAAATTTGGTAGAATAGTACCGTATGGTGCTATGTAATTCGCTCTTTTTTCGGCCGTTGATCAGTTTACTTAATTAAATGGTAGCTAAAGGTGCACTTGCATTGCTGTTCAGGCTTCTGTCCAGATTGGCTTTCCTGACAATTATGCTTACATGTACGGCAAGTCTAGATTTGGAAATGTTATGAGGGTTATGTCGTGGTGTATGTAGTCGATTTTCTTCGTCATACACTAAACTTATCGGTGTGTTCAGTTGTGAACGGCTACTTGAAGATGCTCTATATTCTCTATGTGCCATGATACACAAACGCCTTATGATCATGCAACCTACACTGCAGAACGGTGACGCAGCAGCAGCAGCAGCAGCAGCAGTGGAAACGAAATTTATGTTTCTACCAGTAACAACACCAGCAAAAATCACGGTACAAGGGAAAGTAGAAGTGAAAGGGGGAAAAAGCGAAAACCGCGCAGTCCCGTGCAGCATCAGGCAGCCCAGCCTAGCAGGTCCTTCTCGTTGTTTTCTGATAGGTTGAGGGATGGTGGGGTTTTCTACCGAAGCCCGAGCTCTCCATATCCCACCATGAGAGCAGGGCGCGGCAAGGGCGGCCAGAAGCAGACGCTCTCGGAGGTCCGGCTCATGGGGATCCGCAGTTCCCAGGACTGAGAAATCCATTCGAGCCGTGCTTGAGAAGATTGAGAATTAGTTGTATGATAGGCATGTTTTGTTAAGGGTTGCTTTTCACATTTGGATGAGGATACTTTGTCAGAGTTTCGAGAGTAGGGTTTAGTGAGGACGCGGGGAGGTGGGGGGGGGGCTGTATGGATCGACAAAGTGAGCGTGGACTCTAAGCTCTGAATATAGATAAAGTGTGGTGACCGGTCGGCCCAGTCGATTTCCATTATTTTCTGACATTGTCTGCCTGGCACCCAGGTCCTCAAGACGCACAAAAAGGCAGAAGAGGCCATCGTCAAGCTGCCCTTCCGGCCTGTTATCTTAGGTACCTCCAGAAGAGGAGAACTCGAAAAAGTTCACTGCCAGGATGCGTAGCCAAGGCTCCGCTGCGGTGAGTCCGCAGGAGCTTAGGGTGTGCGGCTCAGCTCCAGGTCTAGACTCTTAGAGACTGTCTTCATTGCGCCGCTTGTGTGGGAAAGGTTAGGGTCTTGCGGTGATTGTGCACTGGTAGACAAAACACAAAAGATTGGCAATGTAAAACGGCGGTATGTGCCTCATCCCGACTGACGAGCGTTCACATGGTGGGAACGGTGAGGCGATGAGCGAGCAGCAGAGCTGCATCTACCATTTTCACCTGGACTACCTCAACTTCTGTGGGCCTGCGTCAGGCGCAAGGGTTCAGGACTTGACTCGCAGCAGGGATTAGGTAGGATTCCGACACGGTAGCTGCAGGCTGCAGGTATTCCCGGTTCCCGGGAGCCCGAAACGGTGCCGTGTCACGGATTTTTTGCTCAAACCTGCATTTTTGGGCAGAAGCAGATCCAGAGGTCTTGGGGTTTGTAGGTTTTAGGGTTTAGGGTTGAGCGGCCCTGTGATCCGATACGTGGTGCTCTGAAGATCCGATTAGTCGGTCTACCGTTCGGACACGATTCCGACACGACAGGTTTCCGATGGAGTGCTGGGAATGTGTTGTCTCAGCCCAGACTGCGGAATGCTCCCTTCGAGGTGGTGCCGTCTTCTCGCAACAGAGTGATGAACAGAATTGGGATAGTCTGCGAGAGCCTCAGACTGAGCAGAGCTGGTGGTACTGTGTTAGTTTGTGTATAGTTTACCGATCGGGTACTTGGACATCTCCATCCGAATCCAGAGCAGTCATAGCATATCTGCTCTTCAAGCTGGCCGAGCATGTTGATGCGGCTGCCTTCGGGATTTCTTCTATTTGTGGCAGCTTTGCTGGCAGCCAGGGCCAAAGCGCTGAAAAAACACTTCGAGAAGGATTTTGGATCTGGCCGGGACCTCTGTCAAAGCAAGATTTGCAGCTGCGGTTTCTAAGATCTCGACACAATCGGCTTTTAAATCGAAGTCGCAAGAGCAAGTGTGATGCCAGCAAGAGTTTCAGCACATATCAGCCCCTTTAGAATGTGGGTCGTAGATCCTAAAGTACCGAGGTGCACCCGTAATGGGAGAACGATGGATTTGCAGGGAGACGCCTTTCAGTGGCTTGTTGTGGGGCTCGGTGGGTGGCTGCATCAAGACTGGGGAGGTGATGATGCACGGGCGAGGCTTGGGCACCGGAATCGGGATTCAACCCTCAGCTCTGAAGCCGGTCAAGGCCTCGTGTACTGTGACACATGGGCATGGTGGGAACGATTAATTCCCGAAGCAAAAAGATTGTACACAATTTGTCGCCACGCGACCATCAAAGCCTCAACTCTTCAACATTTCCTGCCACCTAGCTGCTACACTGGGACGGCCTCTAGCGCTGAAGCCTAAAACTAAACCGTGAACCGAAACTCAGGTCCAAGCCAACAGAAGTCCCAGCCGCAGCGGCCGAACAACACGTGCTTGCCTCAGCTCTGTAGTTGATGGAGGCCCGCCATCGAGGTTCAGTATGTCGGTACGTGACATGTCCCAGACATCGCATGGATCATGATGCGGTAGGGGGATACTCATTTTATTGCAGGCTGTTCTTGGATTATTGTTGCTCTTTGCGTCTGTTTGTTGAGGCTCGCTGATTTCATCACGGTGGACACCAAGCAGAATTCAAAGAAAAATGCAAAGGCAGCCGCTCTGCAAGCACTCTGATCTTCAAGCTTGACCCATCTGTTTCTGACCACTGACACCTCCAGCACGGAAGACCCCTTACATGCTGAGCTGTTCTTCCTGGATGCCGGCCAGGTGCAGCCTACAGCAGCCAAGGCTCCACCAAGCACAGAGACTTCAGTTGCTCTGGGGGTTCTTCAAGGTGCCAGGAGCTACTGAAGCTAAGCGCAGAAAAGCCTGAAAACAGGCCGTGCGTGGCGGCGCCGGACGAGGCGGCCGAGGCGCGGGCGCAAAGGCGAAGGAGGTGGAGAGCCAGAGGCTCAGCGTCGGCTCAGCGTCGTAGCAGCCGGCAACGGTACGAGGAATGGGCATACCTAGGACCTAGCCTACGGAGAATCACACGGGAACTGCCAGCGGATCCGTGCTGGCAGCAACGGCAGAAGCAATGGCATGGACAGCCCCACCAATAAGAGTAGTAGTCACACCATCAACATGGAGATTGTTGTGCGACAATGCTGTTAGCTATAATATTGAAGAGCGATAGGGTATTCCGATTTGGATCTATATCTCCGAAAGCTATGCATGACTGCCGCACCACTGCAAAGCTCCTGAATCCCCTGCGTACACGGCTTGCCTTCACCGAACTATCTCAAGTCAAACATCACGTGAGACGCAAGTAGGATGCGTTGCGACACCGGAATGCCGTTGAGTCTCGCAGGTGTCGAAGGGATCAGGGACATACACTGTCTTCCTCTGGCCCCTCCCCGACCATGTCTAAGGCACAGCTGCGGAGTCGGGAGCTCAGTTGGTTGACAGTTGACAGACCTACCAACCACAATGATGGGTGTCACGCCGCACGATCTTGGAATTCTTCCCGAATCTTTCAGACGGTAGATGGCAAAGGCTGCAGTCGTTTTGCATGCTGTTCGGGAGGGGTTGGGGACCCTGCCACAAGCCTCCAACCAGAAGTGCAGATCCATGTCAACCTCGCCTGCCAGGGATGACGACCCTTCAGCTGGGTTGCAGTGGACATGCCCAAGGCACTCCGCTGCCGAACCAGGGGTTCAGGGAGAGTGTCTTCGGTTTGGACCCAGGGATACCCAGGGGACCATCTTGTTTTGTGGGTTGCCAGTGCGGTCTGGAATTTTTCAGATTGGGCTTGTGCAGTTCGGAGCTCAACCTCTTCCCAATCCGATCTCCACTGTAGGCCTAGACGGAAGAGACTTGATCACCCGCTTGCTTCATGCTTTCACCTGGATAGCAGGGTAAAGCATAGTAAAGTGGCCTCCTGCGACCAACGGTGCAGAGGTTCAAACTGCAGTACGGAAAAGAGTGGACTTAGCGGGGTGCTGGGTCCCAACAGGACAGGATGAGACGTGGTATGCAGTAAGCAATCGATTTCTCGTAGGAGGACCTGCGAGCTCCGTGGGAGAAAAGCTGGTGCCAAACGACCATCCTGATCCTGATCCATTTGCAGCCACTTTGAGCATGTCGAGCGCAATGCCGCGCCTCCTGCCAGGTGCACACTCAAGAATGATAACCATTTGCAGGAGTGTGTTTGCCTCAGTGACGTCTGCACACATGATTCTGGCGCCTGTGCTTTCCGGGCGATGAAGCAGCTGCTTGGGGTGGTGAGGGGCTTCTCCAGCAGAAACCTCGAAACCTCTGACAAAAGGTGCGGCCTGCGGGACAAGCAAAAGCGTTGCATCGCTTTGGGCCCGGAGCTTGGCTGCTCCAAAAGGGTTCGGGTCTGGGGCCCTATGTTCTCAGGTTGCGGGCCGAGGATTCATCTGGGATTGAGGGGAAGTGTGTGTTGGATTCAAGGGTGATTGGGGTGAACTGCAAAGTCGCAGGGGTCTTTCAGTCTCATGCAGTGCGCCCACGCATGATCGTCGCCGGGATGGCAAGTCCGATTGCGCACACTGTTGGAGAGCCGCAAGAAAGAGATTCTGTAGAAGCAGCCGTCCAGGCGGAGTTTCCGCCGCTTGGAACCTAGCCGCAAGCCCAGCGCCGATCTGTAGCACTCTGCCACCGATTGGCCCCTTAAGCCGGCAGTCGCTGAGGATGCAGAAAGAAAAAATCTCCTCCCTCGCAGTGGGCACCTCAGAGTCTCAGAGTTCTGGGCCAACCTCGGGTTGAAGGCACCAGGATCATCAGGCCCACCGGGTTGAACAACGAACATCGCGTTTCTAAGATGACACTCACACAAGCTTTTTTGGCAGCGAGAGCTACAAAATGCCAGGTTCAAACTGTTAAAGCCCGTCGGGAACAGTCTTTTTCTCGGAGCCCGTCGTTCCGGTGCCAGTCATTAGTCGTCTTTTTGCTACTTCTTCCTCCACATCGTTCCAAGTGCCAAATCTTCGACCAGCCTACAGTAATCATGCTGAATAACATCAGATTTCCTCCCCAAGCCGTAAGCCCAAACACGGGGCACTGGCTCTTCAGCTGCAGGCCGCAGACAAAGCCCGCACAGATCCCCCACCGCCGCAGCTAGAGCGTCAGTGCACAAGAAGCTCTTCAGCTTCATCACCCACCTGGAGCTTGCGCATCCGTTTCGAGCCCTCTTTCAGGAGCCTTTGACCTTCGTTTTCGTTCGGTCTCCTTTGCTCGAATCATGTCTTGACACAAGCGTTGATGGACTGCTACAGCGGGCCTGCACGAGCTGTGCGCTGCCAACCTGGCTGTCCGACTATCCGGGCATATCCGGGCATAGCAGCATAGCGGCGTGGCTGTTCTTCCGGTCCAGAGGTCCACTCGCTAGCTCAGCCTTCTGCCGCTCCGTACTGTATGTCTGCGTGGCTTTCAACACGCTCGCTAAACCGTAGTCCAAGCTGGACCGTCACACTGTGAAGCCGCTTGCAGCTCCGTAGTTCTCCAAAACGCAGCTTGGCGAGAATCTGAATGCCCAGAGAACCCAATACTCCTTAATCAAGGAATATACCGTAAATCACAATATTAAGGCCCCTATAATTTAAGGTATATTCCTTAATTAAGGTGTATTGGGGGCTCTGGGAACCTCCTTTCGCTCCCAACCGCCACTCGCCGCTCCCTGGTGCAGCGGGCCAGCGCACACTAACAGGAGGTGTACGTAAGTGTAGCAGTTGTTGCACGTAGAAAAAAGGAAAAGTCGCAAACTCCTCACAGAAGCTTTTCTGGAGTAAGCTATTCCTTCGGGCATCGGGCTTCTCATGAAGGACCCAGCAATGCCCACACTCCCCCACTTCGCATGATTAGACCATATACTGCAAGCCAAGCCCTGGAAATCCTCCACAAAATATGAACTATTCTCAACATGCATGTCTGTTTCTGTAGGCGTGTGCCTGCTTGCACATGCAACAGATTCGAGTTGTACAGACCACGTAACATGAATGTGCGAGTGATGGGCGTAAGGAAGTATGCATGGACTGATTCACTTCTGCGGCAGCATGGTATAAAAGCTTACGTAGCAGGGTGTGGCTTGTCAACGGCTTAAGCATATGTTACTCTAAAGGATGCCATGTGTATTCCCGTACTCCCAGCTCAAAGCACCCTGTACTGAGGACCTCTCGCCGGCACTGCTGAAGCTGTCTGCAAGACGCACCCTCGAAGGCCAGTTGTGGCCAGTTGTATCCCAAGCGCCAAAGTCCAATTGCGAGTACCTGAGGTGCTTCGGACGGGCCTCGCAGGCCTAGCAGCAGTCTGTCTTGCTGATGCCGGCGGTCCGGCTCTGTTTTGTAGATTCATCCCCTCGGTGGCCGCTCCGTCATGCTAAGTTCAGTCAAGTTTAGACCAGAAGCCTCTCTCTAGTATGTTCGAGTGTAAGTGTCCTTCACTGCAGCCTTCACACACCCTTGGAAGCGCCACCAAGCCGCCCCAATGTCAATAGGGGGCCAGTGCTCACGTGTGCGTTAGGTGATGATTTTCTCTTTCTGTAGTTCGGTGCACACTGGGCTTGGCCCCAGCAGTCTCACTATCTTATGGGTCGTTGCCGAGACTTGGTCCTGCTCCCGAGCTTGCCATCACAGTGACGGGCCGGAGCCCTCACCGAAAGGCCCCAACTCCAAAGTGCAAACGATAAGCTCTTCGGCTTGGTCGGCAGATGTCTGGCAGACCCAAGCGAAGGCCGGGACAGCGCGAGCGCTCCAATGTTGTCAAGCGAAAAATCATCGCTCTGCCTCTGGCTCTCTCTTCCCTCGCCTTGAAGTTGTCCTTTGTTTGGGTTGCAAGAGATCTGCGTTGGTTGTTGGATTTCGGATCCCTGGCGTATCCTCAAACGACACATGCTGGATGCAGAAACCGATATGCCAACACCTTTGACCATGAGCGCTTGAAAGAAACGCCAGTAGAGCAGATGCAACGCGGCAGCACGCATGAACTTCAGCATCTTCAGCGGTGT